AACCTGTGTGGAGGTGGTATCACGGGGCAGATGAGGAACCAGAAACTCAGAAAGGTTAAGAAATGCACCCCGGGTCACAAAGGCAGTTGGAGGCAGAGCAAAGATCTCCAGCCTAGGTCTTCTAGCTCCGGATCACAGCCCACTAGCAGGAGTGTTGGGCACCGCATGGGTGTTCTCTTGCATTGGAGCCTCAAGGGCCTGGAATACGTTAGAAATGTGGGGAGAGGTGCAGGGGCATCTTTTGGCCCTCGGGATGCTTATGGGAGAAACTAGAGGCTGTCTGGCACCATTGATAAACCTGCCCCCTGGGCAGACTCCCACTGATTTTCTGTTCCTCCACTGAAACAGTAATAACGAGGGGGCCGGCGAGGGGGCCGGCAAGGGGGGCCGGGGGGCCGGCCCCATGGCGTAGCGGTTAAGTGTGTGCGCTCCGCTGCTGGCGGCCCGGGTTCGGATCCCGGGTGCGCACTGATGCACTGCTTGTCAGGCCGTGCTGTGGCGGCGTCCCACATAAAGTGGAGGAAGATGGGCACGGATGTTAGCCCAGGGCCAGACTTCCTCAGCAAAAAGCTGAGGATTGGCATGGATGTTAGCTCAGGGCTGATCTTCCTCACACACACACACAAAAAACCCACAATAATAACCAGCATTTATTGAGCACCTTCTGTGTGACAAGCATTGATTTTAGGCACTTTCACTTATTTCATTAATCCTCAAAACAACCCTGAAAAGTAAATATTCTTTTTTTGTGTGTTTGTGAGGAAGATCAGCCCTGAGCTAACATCCATGCCAATCCTCCTCTTTTTTTTGCTGAGGAAGACTGGCCCTGAGCTAACATCTGTGGCCAACTTCCTCCACTTTACGTGGGTCACCGCCACAGCATGGCCTGACAAGCAGTGTGTCAGTGCGTGCCCGGGATCCGAACCCAGGCCACCAGCAGAGGAGCGCGCACACTTAACCGCTACACCATGGGCCAGCCCCTAGATATTCTTATTTGATGTTTGAAGAGACTGAAACTGAGAGAAGGCAAGTAACTTGTCCAAGATCACACAGCAATTTTTGTCAGAGCTGGGAATTCCTTTTCAGGACTGGCTGACTTCAATGTTTCTTATCAAGTTTTAAGTTCTGTACACATGCTGATTGCTTCCAGAAGGGAAGAGAAAGGCAAATATGAAGAGTGGTTAGGGTTAATTCTAATCCCTTGTCCACTTCCCTCCAAGGCACCGTTGCCACAGCTTCCCTGCCAACTGTCCTAAAAAGAAATTGTTTTGGCTGTCCAGGTTTCCTCCGTAAATTGGAGCAGCATCTGGTCTTTGAAGAGAGCCAGGCATTCCAGGAGCCCATAACCGAGGGTCCGGATGACTCCTGGTTTGAGCAGCCAGCTGGCGCCAGCTCTCCTGGGAGTGTCTGTGGGCAAAGTCTGATCTGCAGACCAGTTATTCATTTGCCCAAATTAGGAGGCCGAGGAAAATGGTTGTTTACAGGCACCAGAGGTGATCTGAATCCCAAGTCTGCACCCACTTCTTTAGTGTTCCAATAAATACGCTGATTCCATCTGAGAGCCCTGCCCCCCATCTCAAGTACGGATGCTCATGGAATCCCAGGGAAGCCAGGGCAATGCACCTTCCCAGGTGTCTACGCTGGGGTAGGGGGCATCTTTGCTTTTGTACACTCCACAATCCCTTCTCCAGAATCCCTGAATCCAACCATGCTGAAAACACAGTTCTTTCATAAGTTTGTCGTCAAAACTTTTTGGTGGCAAAAACCAGCCTGACCTTATGCTCTTTGTTTATCCCTTGTGAATATGTTTACGTTTTGCTGCAGAAATCAAAACTGATGAGTTCGACTATGGGGGGGATGTCGTGGCAGGATGTTATGTAACATGTGGTATATGCACCACATACTCTTTCTAAAATCCAAAACGTTCTGGAGTCTGGCCCCAGGGGTTCCAGCTAAGGGGCTGTCGTCTTGTTTTATATCACACTGTATTCAAGCAGGAAGGTCATCTCCTGACCAGGAAGCAGATGGCTTACTTAGATTTATAAAGAAAGCCTTCTCAACCCTCTGTGGTCAGACTTGGGGCCTGGAATTCCATCACCAAGGGGTTCATTCTTTGCTGTCTTCTCTGAGATGTGGAGGAAACGAGAGTCACTTATACCTTCATGTGGATTAGTCCTTATAGATTTTCCCCTGTGGGAGAAGGCAGCTTGAGACAAGTAGGTACTTGGAGAGGGTGACCACGTGCTAATGGAAGGAAGACAGGACAAGACAGAAGTCTCAGACAAACCACAGGCCCTGGGCAGGGCAGATAGGCGGGCAGAGAGCCTGCAGGACAGGCAGGCGGCTCTGGGCCGCGCCGGAAAAATGGCCGGGTTAGCCCTTCTCGCATTGCTCACCCCTCTCGGCTCTTTAGCGCACCAAGTGCGGCCATCTAGTGGTCTTCACGTTACATACACCCTTTCCTTGGCGGGGGTCACTCAGGGAGGTGTGGGTCCGGACCAGGGGCAGGCCCTGCACATTGGCTCCCCAGCTCTCCAGGAGGGCCCAAGCAGGAACGGCAAGTGCCAAACCCGGTGGCGGCAAAGGTGCGCCCCCCCAGGGTGGGGCGAGCGATCCTTTTCTAGTGGCGGCGGCCAAAGTGAGGGTGGAGAGGCCGGGGGCGTCTGAGGCCGAGTTTCTCCCATTTTTGAGGTTCTCGGCTATTTACAAATGAATAAACCCCAAAACAGGGTTACGCACATTTGGGTCAACTTAAAAAAGTGTGCGTGGACCTTGCGATCTTTCCGCAGCGAAGCAGAGCGTCTCTGTGACCTCCGGGCCGCTGGGGGCCGTGGGGATGCGGCGGGGTGGCCGGGGCGCCCCCTGCCGG